TAAAAAATTTTATGTGTATGCTTGTCGAGCATTAATCTCGCTAAACAACATAATTGCATTTAAGGATTTTTGTTCGTTTTTTCCAAATTTTTCTTCATACACATATATATATATATATAGTCTTAAGGTGTGCTATATTTATGGGATAAAGTGCTCAATATCAGAGATAGAGCGTGTGTAAATATAAAATTGAACATTGAAGTCAACACTGAGAGGCGCCTCTAAGTGTTGACTTCAATGTTCACTTTCATATATATATATATATATATATATATATATATATATATATACATATATATATATATATCTTCACCCCAAGCAAGGCAATATAAAAAAGAAAAGCCTCATTAATGAGCGAGGACAATAAAAGAAGAGGACTGAGGAAGACACTAGATAGCGATTGACATTGCATTTCACTTTTTGAAAATCAAATTTACTTGAAAGCAAATAGCCGAGTTCCACAGGCGATAAGTGCGAAGAAATAGTAACTCAGAGAAAATAACTTATTGTTCCATTTAGCCAATGTATATAGTTGTGGACAGAATTATTCATCCCCTTCCATAATTACAGATAAATCTGTCATACCTCAAATTTTAATGAAAACATCATGTTCATTTTTTTTCACAAATGATGAAATAATGGATTTCAAATAATGTGCAGTGATGCCTACAATAATCTTACAAAAACACCAAGAACATTTAACATAAGACAAAATTATTGAGCTGCTTACCTCAATAATCACCTCTCTGGCCTTTATTCTTGATTATTGCCTTTAATCATTTTTTGATAGTTCCTTATAAGATCATTACAACTAATGATAGTTTTGTACCATTCCTCCTTGGCAATAGCTTCTAGTTACTTCAAATTCGAAGGACTTCTTTCTCTTAGTTGTTTCTTCCAATATGCCCATAAATTTTTAATGGGGTTTCGGTCAAGCCTTTATCCGATAAAATGTCTCATTAACTCTTGTTAGAGTAGTGATTTCGCCATTAATCTCATTAATATTGCTAATTAATTCTTTGTATAAATTAATTATTTACGATATATATATATATATATGTGTGTGTGTGTGTGTGTGCAAGTCATATAACAAGAAAACTATATATAACCACCATTTAATACCTCAATTTTGCTGTCTTCTAAGTATTTTATAACAATTTGTGCCGTGTTTTTCGGGTCATATATATATATATATATATATATATATATATATATATATATATATAATCACTCTTTCATGATATATTTCTGATACCTTGTACAGGTTTGTTTATCAATTTAATCCGTTTTTATCTTTACAATTTTAATTGATTTACCAACTTTATTACGATTTTGTATTTTAATTGTACACGAGTTTTGTTCTCCTATCAAGTCCGCCATGAATTGTTCTTCGTTGTTCTTGTTATGAAAAAAACCTTTTTTTTTAATTTTGCGGTAACAAATCATTCTTTTCATATATATATATATATATATATATATATATATATATATATATATATATATATATATATACATATACAGTGGGGGAAAACAAATATTCGTACAGATACAAATTTCTAGTTTATTGTATTTCCAACTTATGAAAAAAACAAATTTTTCATATAATTATCTATACACAGATGAATAATAAGTAAATATGCATAGAAAAAAGAAAAAATTGATTTCAGAGGGATAATTCCCATTTATTCACTTTAATGGGTGAAAAAAATATTCGTACAGTGTACGGCTTATGTACGCACCCTTTCTCTTTGTGAGGGAGGGTGGATGTGCAGCATACTGACCAATATATATACCAAGCAGCCGTATCATGACACTGTAAGGGCTCGCTTGTGGCCAATCGGCCACATCCAGATATTATATGTTTAATTATCTCTAGATGTTCTCCTGTGACGTCGTCCCCCGGTCGCAGCGTCGACTGTGTCGTTCGATCCCGGTCGCGGCGCCAATTGTGACGTCACGTGCTCCCCAGGCTCTGATATCCTGGTCACGGACAGCACCAACTGTGACGTCTTCGCCGCGGCGTCAGCTGTTCGCTCCTCGCTGCTCCAAACGTGACGTTCTAACCCTTTGGTTAGATTGATACCAGCCTCGCCGTTCCCAACCCGCGTCCAACGCCTGGTTACCAGGGTATCTGCACTGATCTCCAGTCTGCCTACCCACATTGCGAATTGATCTTAGACAGACGAGATCAAACAGGGGTTGGGGCCGTAATGCAAGTTGAGTCCAACGGGGGTGATAACACACAATTTTGTATAAAAGAAAATAAAATAAAAACTCACAAGGTCCAACGTATCAAAGAAAAAGGTAACAAACTTTTTATGTCTATTTGCTCGGTACATAGGACTATGTCTACTTCCCGACCCGTTCTGTGGATTGTGGCACGACGCTTTTTACTAGGCAACTTTAAGGCTTCAAGTTGTCTGCTAAGAAATTTGTGTTTCGGTGTGTCTTTGGACGAAAGTCGGAAAAAACTTATTTCTGTGGTCTTGATTCTAAGTCGCTCTTCGAACTATTTGTTCTTGGTTGAAGAAGAGTCCAGAAGTGTGCGTGAATCTTGGTCAGCTATCTTGACGCGGTTTCAACACTGGGCGCTCATCTCTGCTTGTCGTCCAAGGTTCAAAACTTCTCGCCAGGGTCCGCGGCTCAATCTGACTTCTTCTCTCCGGCTTGGGTCGAACAAACTGAACTCTTCTTCTCCAGAGTCTGAATTACTGGTCACTCATCTCCGCCGTCGGTGCGCGAACTAACTTCTTCTCTTCGGCTTGGGTCGGACGAACTTCTTCACTTAGGCCAAACGAACTGGCCTCTCCTGCCCGCAAAGTGGGCGACCGAACTCGGGCCGCCGTCCGCGGTTCCACTCCGCTTGCCGTCCGCGGCTGAAAACTGACTTCTGTCGGTTGGGGTCTCGCTTTTATTGACGTAGTCAAAACTGGGGTGGGTCTGTCGGCGCCAGGGGTTCTTCGATAATTCTAAATACGTATCCACCCTTCTTATTTCTGGTTAGGGATTTTTCATTCTTTTCCATTTTCGGTAACTCACTCTCACTCCCTTACTGTGCCTCTGAGGGGCGTGTATCCGCTTCCCCGCTTCTTCGTATCGTATCACTTACACTTCTGACAGGGGCGTCGACCGATTCTCCTCGTGCGTCACGTGACCGCTCTCGGCCAATGAGGTCCTGGTCGAGTATCTTTCCTCCTCCTTCGTGTGTCATGTGATCTTATTTAGCCAATGACGTCTTTAGTCGGGCGTGGACAGTCCGTGGTTTTGTTTTGGGAAAGAAACACCTTGCTTGAAAAAACAAAAATATTAATTTAAATCGCCCCTTATCATGAGCGACTGAGATGACACTTTCGGCTTTTTTTAACACGTGGCATTTGTCAAGCAGTTTATCGCTAATTGGATATGATCTAAGAAAGGAATTTTCTCAGACTCGTTGGCGTTCCTGAACGGAATAAAATATTTCAATTTTCCCTCCGCTCGAAGGTCTGATAATAAAAATCTTTATTATCTCAAAAAAAATTTTCAGCGACAATACCTTGTGTGGGCTTGTTCTAATTCTGGAGACTGTCTGTATTTTCGTATTAATGGTTTGTCTTCATATCCTTAGATACACTTCCCCACCCACTTAGACCTTTACTATCATTCCAATGACACACTTCCCACTTGTTACTTATCAATATTTTCAGTGTCCCTAAACTTCGTTTCCCCTTTTCCTCCTTTCTTTCTTTTTCCTTGGGTGACAACCAATTGATAACAAACTTCCATTTTTCGCGGATCCGCGGAAATCGGTCAGATGCTTGACCTGAATATTTTTCGACACCTGTTATCTGTCAGCCGTGCGTGTGTGTGCTCGCCTATGACCTGTTTTCGTATTATTTTTTTTTCTTTCTTCTTCGTTTTCTCTTTCTTTCTTCCAGATCGCTTGAATGTAAAGAAAGAATTATTCTTAAAACCCAAAATATTTTTTGGCCTTAAATAATTATTAAATGGTTGATAAACCGTAAAAAACAAATCATATATCTATGAATATTTCTCTCAGCTCGTCAGATATGCATGGTGCCACACTCCATATATGTCGCAGGGTGCTTTGCAGTTTAGCTTCATTGCATTGATAGATATTGTTTGAAAAGCACTGATCCTGAGATCCAGTTGTGAACCCTGTAGTTGCTGGTTTGAGACCAGAATCTTACAGTCTGTGGCTGGTATAAGTTCGATCAGGATGTCGATATTATTATTATTATTATTATTATTATTATTTATCCATCATTACTCCGTCCTGGGTATGACGATAAACTACATCCGGCAGCAAGGTCTCTGATCGGGAGATTGGAGGTTTTTGAGGAGCGTGGAACCATCACTCAACTGCTGTTGTTTCCAGGTGCCCCCAGACCTGGAGTGGTAGCACCTGTTCGGGTCCCGGCTATAGTCAAATAGTGAACCTCTTAACAAAAATCAGCAGTACATTTTTATAATAAAATTACCAACAATACATTTTTGTAGTGAAATTACAAGCAATACATTTTCTTTTAAATCAACAAGAATACATTTATTCATCTATAAACTATATATCTAAAAAATATAGGTTTACCCTGAAAGTATAAAATTATGTACAAAATATCTGTAATTAAATGAATAAATTTGTGTTTAAAATATTTAGATTTCAGCATTAAATGACCAATGAACTAACCAGGAACTTCATCCTTATTATCTGGTATATATGGCGGAAAGAAAAGTTGTCTAAAAAAAAAAAAAAAAAACAGGACAAAAATAATAAACAAAAAATATGTGCTACTGTTTGGATTTTCTTAACAAAGGAAAACAGGGGAAGTTTTGTTCGAAAAAAAACTTTCAAAAGCATCAGGAAGGAAGGAAATGAGTCTGTCCCTAATAAAAAAATGTTCTTCGTAAATCAAAATGAAAATTCAAGGGAAAATAGACACTGTCTTCCCGTCCGTTATAAAATAATTAACTCATTTCAAACTGTCTACCTTTCGTCAAAGATGAATTTACCTGGAAAGTATCTACGAAATGATGCTAAAAAGGGCTCGTCCCGAATAAGAAACACTCAGTCTTTTCGCCTCTATCTATCTATATCAGTCTGTTTGTTTGTTTGTTTGTTTCTTTCTTTCTTTCTTTCTTTTTCAGTTTGTTCATATCTATCTATCTATCTATCTATCTATCTATCTCAATCTACTCATTATCTATCTATCTATCTATCTATCTATCTATCTATCTCAGTCTGTTCGTTTCTTTCTTTCTTTTTCAGTTTGTTCATATCTATCTATCTATCTATTTATCGATCTATCTATCTATATGAGTCTGTTAGCTTCTTTCTTTCTTTTTCAGTCTGTTCATATCTATCTATGTATCGATCTATCTATCTATATATACAGCAGCCTCTTTCTTTCTTTCGCAGTCTATTCATATATATCTATCGATCGAACTATCTATTTATATCAGTCTGTTTCTTTCTTTCTTTCTTTCTCAGTCTATTCATATCTATCTATCGATCTATCTATCTATATCAGTTTGTTTCTTTCTTCTTCTTTCTTTCTTTCTTTCTTTCTTTTTCAATCTGTTCATATCTATCGATCTATCTTTCTGTATATATCAATCTGTTTCTTTCTTTCTCAGTCAATTCATATATATCTATCGATCGATCTATCTAAATCAGTCTGTCTCTTTGTTTCTTTCTTTCTCAGTCTATTCATATCTATCTATCTATCGATCTATCTATCGATCGATCTATCTATATCAATCTGTTTCTTTCTTTCTCAGTCTGTTCATATCTATCTATCGATCGATCTATCTATGTCAATCTGTTCATATCTTTCTTCCTTTCTATCTACCTATCTACAAATCTCTATATATATATCTGTCTGTGTATGTGCGTGTGTGTGTATGTGTATGTGCGTGTGTGTGTATGTGCGTGTGTGTGCGCCCGCGCTTGTGTGTATGTGTGTGTACGCGTATGTATATTAGTGCGTAGATGTCAGTTTGTTCTTATCTTTCTATCTATCTAAATATATGTGTGTGAGTGTGTATGTGTGTGTGCGTGTGTCTGTTCATATCCGTCTATCTATCGATCGATCGATTTACTTATCATTTGTTATTTTGCTGGGGTTTTTTTTTCATATTAATCACAGAGCCAGTTCCTCAATCCTCATTCGCTTCTGAAAGGTTCTTGTCTATGAAGGAAATTCCAAAATTGAATGCCAGAGAAAAACATTTCCATCACTGACAAAAGTGACCATCTTTGCACCTCCCAATATATCTCGATCCTTTTGACTTGTCAAGGAAATGCATCGGATTTATGAAAAAGAACATTCTTAATAACAGACTGCGATATGAATCAAGATAGATTTGATATTAGGGAACCCAGGTTCATATCACTAAACTTACAGATAGATAGATAGATAGATAGATAGGTATGAACACACTGAGAAATTAAAAGTTTCGTAAAATAAGTTTTTTCATTAATAGTATTCAAATTTATTAACATATCAACGTATATACAGGATGCGATGGGTAAATTGTCTCTATTTTTGTGGTTTTAATTTCACGCATGCGCGTTGTTTGTTTTTGATTTAGTTGACTGCAAAGTATAGTAGGGTCAGTTGGGCACCGTCTATGAGAAAAAGATAACTATGACCCAATTCCCTCCACAAGAAATTTGGAAACGGCATGCTGCATTCCTTGGTATACGCGCCGGGAGTTCCAATACGAACATTTCAGAATGTTTCGGTGTAAATCTAAGGACAGTGCAGAGAATTCGGAAAGAGTTGGATGAGTCTAATGGTGATTACGAAGGTACGCCAGATCAGAAAATTCACTCTGATCATTCTGATAAAAAAAAGGATTCCCGAATTTGTTGGTGACGGCCTCAGACTCAACACTGAGGCCTACATTAAGTGCCTTTAGAAAGGAGTGCTGCCCTGGATTAAGAAGGTGGCTACTGGAAAAACCTATGTCTGGCAACAGGACTCTGTGTCATGCGACACAAGCAGGAGAACCCAGTCGGGGTAACAGGGGAAAATGCTTATCATAACAGATGCCATGAAAGTAGTTTTTTCACATTTTTCTTTTATTTCGTTTCTTTAATTATTACGGAAAAAGGAATGATTTCTAAAAGTTTCTGACTATATTTCTGAGATGAGGTATTATGTACAATGTTTACATTATTCGGACTATTCTCCTCATCTTTCTTGCCATATTTATTACAACGTTTCGGCTTTCAGTATCTGTCCATATTTCTGAGATGAGGTATTATGTACACTATTTACATTATTCGGACTATTGGCTTCATCTTTGTCGCCATATTTATTAAAATGTTTCGGCCTTTCAGTATCTGTCTATATTTCTGAGATGAGGTATTATGTACACTATTTACATTATTCGGACTATTGTCCTCATCTTTGTCTCCATGTTTATTACAACGTTTCGGCACTTCAGTGTATGTCTATATTTCTGAGATGAGGTATTATGTACACTATTTACATTATTCGGACTATTCTCCTCATCTTTCTTGCCATATTTATTACAACGTTTCGGCTTTCAGTATCTGTCCATATTTCTGAGATGAGGTATTATGTACACTATTTACATGATTCGGACTATTGTCCTCATCTTTGTCTCCATATTTATTGCAACGTTTCGGCCTTTCAGTATCTGTCTATATTTCTGAGATGAGGTAATATGTACACAATTTACATTATTCGGACTATTGTCCTCATCTTTCTTGCCATATTTATTACAACGTTTCGGCCTTTCAGTATCTGTCTATATTTCTGAGATGATGCACTATGTACAGGACCGAAAAAAATGTGAGTTCACTCCCCGGGGAAGGCAGTGGAGAACTTTCAGAGGGGAATTAACAGGTGATATCTGATATGTGACATCCGGAATACTTGTCACTTTGGCCCTAGCTGTTGCCACTGATTCATGGTTATATACGGATGAATTCACAGAGCTGATGTCGGAAAATTTAACCGTCAAGATGACAGTGAAGACGCTTTCTGGTCTCTGGCGAGTGTGTTCTATAAACGTTAAATACATTTATTTTTATTCAAATTCACATGTTTAATATAACAATGCATTTTTATCAATAATTATCTCAATACTGTCCGACACGTTTAATCCTGTACACTTGGATTAAGGACACTGCCGGAGCACAGAAAATGCCGGATGATAGAAATCATCCCTAAAAGAACCTCTGTAAACAGCTTACTTTATCCATACCAATACTTACTTACTTCTTTCTTTCTTTCTTTCTTTCTTTCTATCTCGCCTACGATCAAATCACGCTGAAAATACTGGTTCACTTTCGATCACCAAAGTTAAGTAGCGTCGACCCGGTCAGTACTTCGATGGGGGACTGCTTATATAACACCGGGTACTGTAAGCGACCTCCTACAATCCAAAATATGTATCGGCTTCAAATAAACCACAAATTGTTGATAAGCCGTAAAAAAGAAAATCAATCAATCTAGCTACATCTATATCATTAGTAACAAGCATATATATATATATATATATATATATATATATATATATATATATATAGAACCATTTATGTATACATTTTACCGGCTTAAGTGCTGGCCAGTGGATACCAGTAACAGGTCTCTAGTGGAATTTTGGTTAAGCCATGCCCGACGGTATGAGCAACCAATTACTACTTACCCTTCTGTCTTTTGTGGCAGGGGGTGGAGCACTTGTCACTTTGGCCCTAGCTGTTGCCACTGATTCATGGTTATATACGGAGGAATTCACAGAGCTGAAGTCGGAAAATTTAACGGTCAAGATGTCAGTGAAGACGCATTCTGATCTCTGGCGAGTGTGTTCTATAAACGGTAAGTACATTTATTTTTATTCAAATTCACTTGTTCAATATGACAATGCATTTTTATCAATATTTATGTCAATAGAGTCCGACCTTTAATCCTGTAGAGTTGGAATCAGAACACTGCCGGAGCACAGAAAATGTCGAATGACAGAAATCATCCCTAATAACCTTTATTTTATTCAATTGTTTTGAGCATGTGTTAAACAAATGGCAGGCTTACATACGGGACCTTATGCTCAAATCACTCTGAAAACACCCACTCTCGTTCGTTCACCAATGTTAAGCAGTGTCGAGCCCCGTCATTTCATAGATGAGGGACGACTTAGGAACACCAGCTACTGTAAGCTACCTCCTACAATCTGAAATATGCTTCGGCTTTACTTAACCTACAAAGGGTTCATAAGCTATGAAAAACATATTAATCAATCAAATGGCCACAGGATAATGTAAATCCTTCTTTCATACACATTTCATTGAAAACAACAGACAAGATGCTTTTATTTAGTTTTTTATAAAATTTCTCATGCGATTTAATAATGTTTTTCTTTTCGGATGATAAATTATATAAAAACTGACCCATTGTTCTTCTTTTTTTTTTATCCGAGCGCTTTGGGCTATACATTTAGCCATTTTCAAAGATTTAACTGTTAAAATAAGAATTAGTTTGTTGTATATATGTTTTATGAAATATTTTCATTTTTCAAAACACGGTCAAGATATTATGTCCATGTTCAAAGTTAATATTATTGAGTGTTGTTTTTTTTGGGGGGTGGGGGTATTCATAAGGCTGCGATTATTTTTAGCTATTTTTTTTTGCATGTAGATGATGTTATTATATTAATGTTTTCAACAAGTATGTTACGAATAGTGTCCGGTAGGTTTCCATGAATATTTAAATGAGATGTAATTGAGCTGTGGTCAGAAAGGTGTTGAGTGAGTCTGCATGTCAAACATGTTGTAGTGTAGCCTATATAATTATTTACGAATTTTGATTGATCAGGAATACAATTCCTTAATGGGCATTTAAATTCGTAAATAATATTTGCCCTATTTGATTTTGTTCTAGGAGGTGAATTATTATTTTTAAGTATAAGGTTAGAAGTTTTAAATTTAATATATATATATATATATATATATATATATATATATTTATATTTATATATATATATGCATGTCTCTCTCTCCCTCTCTCTATCTGATGTTAAATATAAGTGTTCATTTTGTTTCCATTTTCTCTAAAACTTCATCATTGCCCACATGTGCAGTCCATCCTTCTGTCAAACCACATTTCTATTGTTTCAATATATAATGATGTTAACCCTGTGATCGCCAACGATGAATCCTTGTAGGAATTCTAAATTAAAAAAAAAACAAAAAAAAACGCATTTATGAGCACAAAAGAGACATCACAAAAAAACAACCTAGCTAATGAACTAGTCATACATAAAATGAATGTTAAGTATCTTTCCTTTTTGTTTCCATTTTTTCTAAAACCTCGACGTGCCTCACATGTTCAGTCTATTGTATTCTCAGTATCTTTCTGTAGAACCACATTCCTGTTGCTTCAAGTCTCTTCTTCATCTTTAAGGAACTTGTCCAGCATTCAATGCCATACATTAGGACACATATCGCGTAACAATTGAGTACGATTTTCATTGTTTCTAACGATGTTTCAGCTAATTACTAATAAAACAGTAAGGCATCAAAGAATTGAATCTATTCACTATGACTGACCACATGATTGTCTGATTTAATTTATGTTATGTATAAATATGCTTTTGTGTGTGCATATGGGTGTGCAGGTGTTTGCATGTGCATTTATATATGTGCGTACGTGTGTCTATATAAGTGAGTGTATGTGTGTGCATGTGGATAAATATGTGTGTGTTGCTGGATGTTACTTCGCATCTTTACGTAAAGAAACTGAAGAAATTAAAATTTACGAATCCAAAACAAAAATTAAACTGTAAACTAAGCCACGAAACGAAATTGAAAGTTAGAATTGCAATATTTCTTAGTGAAAATATTAAATTACGTTAACGAAATTTTCAAAAAATAACCAGTAAATTTGGATTTTATTCCATTAAATCTCCTAAATAAGTACGACGCTTGTTTCTTTTTAAATTACTTTTGGATTTAGATTCTTAAATAAGAAATAATATCAGGTGTAGGAGATGATGCTATTGAGTCTTATTGAACACATTTATTTTATTTTTAACCATCTCTTCCCACCCAGGTAAGGCGATAATGCTACTAAGGGGTTGCTGGAAGTGAAAGAGAGGGAGAATAATTTTTAAGGGAATAAAAGAACAGGTTTTAGAAAGACAGAAGATTGCGATTGGCGAAAAAAAAATGTCTGGCAAGATACAATGAAGCAACTTCCCGAGTAGCGTTGATTCAATAAAATCACTCAACTTCATGTCAGTTGAAATGATTTGTTCTCCTGGGGGTTAGCATCAGCCATTCTGATGAAGGGTATAAATGATTCTTTATGATATTTAAAGGATATCAGTTTCGTTTAGTTTATAAAAAATAATTCTGGATCAATATACAAGAAATGAAATGACTATATATATATATATATATATATATATATATATATATATATATATATATATATATATTTCATAATTTTATGGATAATTCGAAAGAGGATATAAGTCCAAGGTGAGCTCAGTGTAAGAGCAGGGCAAATGATAAAATGATCGGAGCGGGGACTTTAGAAATCCATAGTAATATCTTATTTCGCAAAATCGAATACTCCATCCCGTCTCATCAGACCAAACACTTTCACAGCATCTCTCTCTCTCTCTCTCTACCTATCTATCTATCTATCTATCTATCTATCTATCTATCTCTCTCTATATATATGTTGTAACATAGGGTAGGTTACTGAATAGAATAATCAGACGAAGGTTGGTAATGAACGATAATACTTAGTACACGAGCAACACATATAAGATTCGCCAGCGGCGCGTGGAAGAAGTAGTCAACTGCTAGAAGTGAGTCAAGTGAATTCCAGAATGAATGTCCAACTGCAGACCAACATACAGTATTTACTACTCTATTTATGTGAATGGGGACATACCCATTATCCTGCGGAGGTATGCTAATATATATATATATATATATATATATATATATATATATATATATATATATATATATATATATTGTGCAAATTAATTGAAACAACTGCTTTAGTTTTGTTTTTGTTTTTTCCCGTTCACCATACGGTCAGTTTTAGACTCACTGGAATGACAGGGTGCAATCGATTTCTATTTTTTCTTCAGATTATGTCATTTGCAATTGTGCGCAGTGATGTGAATCTATTTTCGGGATGTTTGATGAAATCTGTTTGCCCTTAAATAATACTGCGTCATCCGTGATTGCATCAGATTTTTATCATTTCCAGACACTATTGTCCCAACTGTCGATTAGTTGTCCTCCGGTCATTGATTGCTATGGACGTTACTCCAAGGAGCCGTACGAAAATTGTAACTCTGCACGAACACACTAGTAAGCCTTACTAGTGATCAAATCAAAGTACTATAGACTGGCTCCGAAACTCTCCTGATTCATGACCAATCGAGAATCTGTGGTCATTCTGCAAGGAACGATTTCGTGGAATGGACATACGAAGTACTAACATGTGTATACTAGGTTGTGCTTGATTGGAAAAATAAGTAAAATAATAACCGAATTATTCGTTTTGTTTCAATTAATTTCACAAGTTTGAATATATATATATATATATATATATATATATATATATATATATATATATATATATATATATATATATATTTCAACATTTTTATAGTTATGCATTCTTTCAGGAACGGAGATATTTGAAATCATAACAGATGTAGAAGCTGATGCTATTGAGTTTGTACACATATTATTTTTAATCACCCGCCCCCAAGTAAGGCGATAATGCTACTAAGATGCAAGGTCTTACTGGAAATGAAAGAGAATGAGGAGACATTAGTGAGGTGAAAGGACAATAAGAGAACAGGTTTCAGGAAGACAAATAATGACGATCGATGTTGCATTTAAATTTTCAAATATGTAGGCAAAAGGGAAACAAGAAATTAGAACAGAGTTTCACAGATGAAAATTGCGATAAAAAATATTATCAAAATACGGTTCCATCTGTCTATTTCGACAGTAAAATGATGAGACCTAACTGCCAATCTAGTAACACGCTTAAATTAATTCGGCTGAGATACCAAGAAGGAAAGCTCATTAGACCAAGGAAAATTACCTTGAAAATATTTATAGAAAAGACAAAGGGAAGCCACGTCGCAGCTGTGAGAAAGTGACTGAAGTTGAGATACCAGATCAGGACCAATAACATTGCAGACCCTTCTTCGAATTTTATCGAGAATCTAGGTGCATATAGCCAGATCACCAGAGCAGATATTGCAGCAAGGTTCAATGCATGGATGAATGGTGAATTTCTAAATGTGCAAAATGTATTGTGGCAAGAAAAATTGTTTTGCACGATATAGAGAAAATATTTTTCTAGCAGCAGACATAACCATTAAAATGTGTTTTTATTTTGTTTTTGTTTTATGGTGATTGTTGTTATTATATTTTTTACGCTGACGTGTAAATCGGATGGATTTTATTTCCAAGAAAAAGGGACATATTTCAACATTTGAAACGAATTCTTTCTTTCTTTCTTTCTTTCTTTCTTTCTTTCCTTCTTTCTTTCTTTCTTTCTTATATCAATCAACTGAAATTCTTCCGCCGTTGCTTGAGTCTTTTAAAGTCTTTTAAAAATACAGTAAAAAACCTAAAACTCTTCCCGTCGTCAAAAAACATTATTTGAAATATATATTGTACAAGAGGAATGATACAAAACAAAGACGTTACTTGAGATGCCGTTTATACAATTATACAAGTCCGAAGAAACTTGCCAATAAAAAATGGAACTGCTATTTAAATGCCGACTATATTAATAAGGTCCTTAGGCACACAAAACTTTTTTTAACAGTTAACATAATATAATCTGAAATATAGAAAATATTTAGCGCAAACTCGTAGGAGAGAAAAATTCAATTTGTCAATATATATATATATATATATATATATATGAATGGCCAGTTTTTATTTTAAGCAAGCGATACGTTAACTTACATGATAATGTGGTGGTTGTAAAACCAATAGAGAAATTCTGTGTTTGTGCAACATGGATGACAAACTTTCTCAATGAACAAGGACATTCATAAAATAACTGTAATATTCAATACCTCGAAAATCAAACGAGTAACGTTACATCATCATCGAGCAGACGCTGAATTATCGCCCCTCGCGATTAGTATGTGTTCCCTGAAAGAGACCACTTGCTTTAAACAACTATAGTGACGCATGTTCACCCCAGACCTCAATTATACGATCCTTTGTTAAAGATGCTGGATAAAATGACCGGTTCCTTACACCGCTCCTATAAGAACCTGATTCCTCCTGCTACGCTCTATATATACAAGAGCCAGATCCTATAAGAAAAATGGACTATTACTGCCGTATCTGAGCTGCAGCTATACAGTCCTCAATTACCAGTCTTTTTCAAGTGTTTACGCGGCCTTGTGGGTGATGAATTATATTCCACCCTACAACCCCCTTTCCCACAGACGAATCGCCGCAAGCCTTTCGCTAATCTATCGCTATTTCCATGGCCAATATTCTGACTAGCTACATTCCTTCGTTTTACCAGTACTGACCTTCAGAACTAAAACCCGCCATGCACTCTGGGGCGAGGCATTGCCATTCCTTACGTACCCTATTAATATGAAAGAAATTCCACGCTGACAGCTTCGTCCCAAAAGCCACTATTTTGCGGAATAAATTTACGAGAGGGTGCTTTGCTGACCACAAAAATCGTAACCTCTCTCAGTCTATGGTTAAAAGCAGTCCCACATTCTTATTAAATGCACTTATTACGCTTATAAAATAACCTCATTCAGTAATCCTCTACTTTGAATGGCTCTTGGGGCTTGTATTGGGTGAGCATTAGACTATATTATCACTTTTGACGAGAGCAATTGTTAGACATTATAAACTTACATATATTTTTTATTTTGTATAATAAATAATCTGATAGGTTTATCAAGGGAAGCACGGTGGATAGTGACTACGGATTGGGGAATCGGAGAGCCAAGTTCGAATTCCAGTCGAATCCATTACATTCACTTACGTGCTTATACCCTTAGAAAAGTTATGAATCCTCTTCTTCTTCCCAGCCCCAGCTATGGGTAAATAGCAGGACAGACCGGGTTCTATAACATTGGATGGCAACTGATCTACTGCAGAAAGAAATGGCAACTTACTGCAGGGAAAAAATCTGCCTAGTCAGTCATGTATCGAAAGATACATGATCGCCTAAGCCTATATCATGCATGGCACATAACAGACTGAAGTTCAGTTATAGATGTGAATCTATGAATAATGTTTATTTTATAACTGTAATACATTTGTATCACATAAAATAGGCTGATTATATATATATATATATATATATATATATATATTTGGTTGGATAGATGTGAGTTTGTGACCCTGGGTTTCACGCTTTAGCGATCGTCAGACAAACTGATTAAATTTTTAAAAAATTTGGGTTTATGTAGATTGCATGTATTGGTGTTATTGTAGAAGTCATAATTTTACACAAACCCCACCACACGTATATACATACATGCGAGGCAATATTATTCAGCGGAAAAATAAATAATATGACATGTATACATTCACGAGACATTTCCGCCACACTTCCAATCTTTAAATTTCAACATACAAATGCGTATGTATAGACACAACACCACCCGTATACATACATATGTCATATCCGAAACTGCCCACATATGTTTATATATGTATGAGTCCCGACGGACGACCAAGTATGTATATGTGTCTGCATATATCGATGTTTGCGTTAGTACGATGACATAAGCGACGAAGTTCCCCCCACCACTTCCACAATAACACCAATACACGCAATCTACATGAACCCAAATTTTTTTAAAAATTAATCAGTGTGTCTGACTATATATATATATATATATATATATATATAAAAAAGGCTTAAACACTAATATTCCATGGTCATAATTTATTCCATTGGAATCGTAAATACGATCCAAATCATCAGACCTACAAATTCAAAATTGTATATGTGTGTATGTGTGTGTATATGTATGTATGTGTGTATATATGTATGTATGTGTGTGTGTATGTATGTGTGTGGATGTATGGGTATATGTGTGTATATATATATATATATGTGTGTATGTATATATATATATAGGTATATATATATATATATGTATGTGTGTATGTATGTATATGTATATGTATGTATGTGTATGTATAAGTATGTATGTATGTATGAATGTATACATGGGGTATATGTATGTGTGTATATGTATGTGAAAAGTGTGTGTATATGAATATAGATGAATATGTGTATGTGTGGATATGTGAATGTATTTTTAGGTTTTTTATATATATATATATATGTGTGTTTGTGTGTGTATATATATATATATATATATATATATATATATGTATGTATATGTATATATATGTATGTATGTATATATATATATGTGTGTATGTGTGTATGTATGTGCATGTACACGTATGTATGGTGGGTGTGTGTGTACATGCCTAAGTGTATGTACCTACTTTGTATATGTTTTTTTGTGTGTATTAGTATGTGTTTTTGAACATAGAAATATTTGGTCCTTGAAATGAGACAATCGTTATATTCATCTTCATATATTTATATTTGATTTAATTTTCCCAATTACGAAGCGGCCCTTTATGTAAACACATTTTATTTTCCTTCGTCCCATTCCTCTCCCCCACCCCTTTTTTTTTTTTTTTTTTTTTTTACCTTCCTATCCGAATTGTCTGTGGTGTGTATATGTCACTACGAAATGTATCTTTATGTATTAGACATCCGTCGACTTTCTTTCTCTCCTCTTTTTAAATCCACCCCACCCACATCTCCAAAAATTCTCTCTGTCACTCATCCTCATATTTACACTTTCTCTAAATTCTGTTTTGATTTCCGGAGTTGTTTTTTTCTGTTTTCATTTTGAATTTGTAGGTCTGATGATTTGGATCGTATTTACGATTCCAATGGAATAAATTATGACCATGGAATATTAGTGTTTAAGCCTTTTTATTATATCCTTACTCTGTCCTAGACATTGAGTTCTACCTGGATCCTTCCTCTTGGAAAATTTTTCTGAAAAATATACATGTATGGGAATTTTTTAGATATATTTTTCATATGTATGTATATTTTCTAATATATATATATATATATATATATATATATATATATATATATATATATATATATATATATATATATATATATATATATATATATATATATATATATATATATATATATATATATATATATATATAATAAATAAATAAAATTCGCAAAAGTACTGCTTCGCTGTATCACAGGTCCTTAGCGCGACTAGACATAAGAATGCTTTAAGCCAGGAACGAAACCAGACCGATTTGGTGTTAGTCAGAGTGTCTACCACTGAGCTATCATCATTCAGCAGAGAAGAAAAGCTAATTCTAGCGTATTGTTTTTACGAATGTAAACAAACCCCAATCAGTCAGAGGGATCCAATTCATTTTACTCAAGAGTTTTGCATTGGCACACATAGCTGTTGTTTATAGAATCAGCTTATCTCTCAACAGTGCTCAATCGAAATATATTTTTCAAGAGCTTAATATATATATATATATATATATATATATATATATGCACTCAGTGTTCATTGGTTTTAAATGTAAAAACGAACATTTTGCTCCAACCTCCACCATATACACGTAGCCTTAATATCACATATAGGACGCATGGCAATTTACTACGCATTTTTCTTTACTTATTATTTTGAAAAAAAAAAGTTCGTCATATATGCCATCAAATAAGGTATTCCTTTTAGCCAAATTATTTTAAAAAATGTCTTCTTCAAATAGCCAAGCAAAGAAAATGTAATGGGACGACAAACAGCAAACGTTGCCATAAACATTAAGCCACGTTCTTAGCATTTAAGTAGATAATTCCAGGGATGCGTAGATGTAATCACATGTCCTGAAATCATTTACTTTTGTTGGTGGAAAATAAAGACTGTATTTACAAAAAGCTAATTATATTTTCTTAAAGAGAACGACCGTATATAAATGTGCTTTTACTGGGCGAATAATAAACGCTGATTATCCCGAGCAAACAGCAATTTACCAGTAATTATTTGTAATTTTTGCCGAAAATTATTTGAGTGTCTTCGTGTATTTTAGGTAAAGTTATTGGAAGAGAACAGGTTTGACTTTTTGTTGGTATTGGGTTTCTTTTTATTCCTTTGTCTAAATGAAGCGAATGGAAAAATAGGAGAAAATGATGAAGGCAGCAGTTGGGAAGAACAAAGAAAACGCATACAGATGCAGAAAGATGGCACTGCCTATTACCTCGACACCCTACACACGCGCACATACACACAGATATACATACATACATATATATATATATATATATATATATATATATATATATATATAATATTACATTGGCGAATTGTGAAGCAGATGTTTGCCACTGTTTCCTTCCCCTGAAGAAAGATTCCAAACGGAACTAAAAAGCGTGTAAGAAATGCATAAACTTTCGAAGAGCATCTCCAACACACACACACACACACACACACACACACACACATATATATATATATATATATATATATATATATATATAT